TTAATAATATTTTTTCGTACATAAATAATATCGAAGTTCAAATAGACAGCCTGTTATCGGATCCACGTATCCCATAGTCGATCACTTTTTTATTGTGGAGTAGGCCATAAGGTGACCCTTCGAATCCTGGCTCAAAGGGCCTACCTATATTCCACGTGCGTCTCACCACGAACCATATAACGGCAATAATTAACAGAGCAAGTAATATACATGCTAATAGAGGTGACATATTCGGTAATTCTTGAAGTGTATTGTTGTCTGCGGAGCAGGACACTTCGTGTCTGGTTTTGCTAATATCAATTTCATCACTTGCCTTGGTAATAATCTCTGTATTATTTTTTGATGGTTCGGTAATTTCACCGTTAGTATGTGTCGAGATATTACTATTAATTTTTTCTATTGAATCCATATTTTTTCCGTATATAAAATATTTACTTAGATCACTATCTGCGGAGCAGTGCACTCTGTGCCCCTTGATTATATTTTTTTCGACATCTCCACCAACGACGGGCTTTGATATAGCCTCCGATTTCAGACACTCAAGTTCACTGACTTTCAAAGCTAACTCATGTTCTACTTCAACTATTTTGGATTTGAGAGATGTGATCTCAGTTTCTTTTTTCGATAAGTCATTTTGAATCGAAAACACATCTTTCTGGGCTGAAGACAACTTACTTTCCAATATCTTGATCATAGACTCAAGTGATTTGATTTTCTTGAATTTTGTAACATTCTCAGCCTTGGATTCAGCAATAAAAATATTCTTTTGTGCGTTATAAGAAATAAGATTAGTATTTTCATTTTGTAGTTGCTTACGCTCATTAATAACTTGCAAAGTGTGGATATGTAACTTTTGGATTTCAATATTATTTCGTAATAAATCCCGATTCCACTTCTTTCTTTCTCGGTCAAAATCTTTCACCCGTTTTAAGAATTTGGATTGTAATGCTTCATTACAGTTATTTAGCTCGGATATAGACTTTAAACTGCGGTGTAAAGTTTCTTCGAGTTCTTGTTCCCGCATACTGCCAAGACGATGACCTTTGTTAGAACTAATATCATGTAGTGTATGTACATTAGCCATATATCTTTGGTTAAATATACATAAGATAATTTACAAAATTTAGAATCCGATATAAAGTATTGTAAAATATCAGGTAATTACCGGTAACTTTAGAAAATTATCACACAATAATTATATAAAATTACCGATAATTTTCGAAAATTATATATATATTTTTATGATTAGAAAAAAAAAAGATGGAACACATAACTGTAGAATATTATCGTGCTGGTATACCTTATTTATCCCTAGAAGCTATTGAGAAAATTATTCAATCTCGAGGAACGATTAAAAATGCATGCAAGAAAATGGCTGATAGATATAGCACTTCAACCCGCCGAATTTATGAAATCTGGAAAAGGCATGCCCAAGGATTGCCTCAGCGCAAGCAACAAATGATACAAAATATATTTTTTTCTGAAATAGCATCTATGCCTAGGAATAATATCTCAAATGAGCGGACAAAAAAGAAAAAATCTAGTTCCAAATCGATCCACTCTTCACACTTAACTTCTAATAGTGGAGGAAAGATGGAAAAAATAAGTGGGGGCGATATGGATAACATTCCTAATACAGATATAGTTACTTTGATTGAACAAGAAATAAAAAGAAAAGATAAAAACATAGCTAATAGTGCTTGCATAAAGTCTACTACTTAATCTATATTGACTTTATCTGCAACAGACACAATGATATTTCCGCATTTTACTTGCAGAGCTTCATTACAATTATTAAGTTCTGTGATCGATTTAAATGCATTATAAAGACTTTTCTCATATCTCTCGCAATTCACACATTTTTTTTTAAAGTCGAATTGTCAGAATCTAAGCTAAAACGCGCAGGAGCATGCCATTCCTCCAATGATACATTGTTATCCTTATTATTATCCGTCTCTTGAGAAATTTGATCAAATACCATAGGCTTATCATCTTGAGATGTAGTAGCGCAATTTACTTCGAGTTTATTCTTGACTTTGTGCATAGTGACTGGAATAATAAAATCTTCTCCGTTATAATGAACCTTCATTTTATCGTTACCCCAATCTACAACACATTTATATTTTTTGAGAAGTGGGTTTGGGAATATTAATGTTGGTTTGGGAACTCGAACAACTACAAAATCTTCACGTATAGTAAAACCTGGAGGAAATGTTATTGGTAAATTACGAGTGATGCCAATCGATTCCGTTGGAACAGTAGCAACGCCACTGAGATCATATTTTTCTGACCTATCTATTTTCCCGCCTACACATTTAATAATATCTTCTAATATGATTGCAGGCTCAGCACCACTATCTAGTACCAATGCTGGAATTTTTAAGTGTTTGATTTTAACTGGTATAGTTGCAATACTAATTACCGGTTCTTTCCGACAGACAAAATCAATCTCCATAGGATCATTCAGCGTCTCCTCTTCGTCATCTAAATCAGGTATTTCTGGGATTGGTTCTTGATAATTTATAAAGTCAGGTTTTGCAATAGACAAATTTGTATTATTAATATTGTTTTTAATCATTTCTATAACCTCTGGATCGTTAAACATAGCTAGGATAATTTTTCAAATTTGTGAGTCAATAATCGTACCTGATTTCTTTTGTATTTTTTGTGAAGAATATTGAATCAGAGATTCGAGACTCTGTCTCTTCTTTGGACTAGACTGTTTTTTAGATAATGATTTATCTGATTTACTCTTCTGCTTTACTTGTTTTTTTTTGTATTAGAAATATGTACATCATAACTATGATCGGATTCAACCTCAGATGAGGAATCTCCAGAATCGGAGTTATATTTGAAGAATCATTATCGGAAGAGTTTGTATCTGAACCCGAATCTACAGCAACCTTATTAACACTGCCTCTCTTTTTGGATCTGCTCTTGGACCTTTTCTTACGAGTACACTTGCGAGAATTATGTCCAGTTCTATTGCAATTTGAACAACGATGTTGAGATGATTTTTTAACAGCATTAACCTCTTTTATATTATCGGTACTGGTATCTTTATTCTTCGATTGTACCAGTTTCGCCGAAAACATATCAGACAATTTTTTATAAAGATCATTGGCTAGAGATTCCATAATTTGACTAGTTGAAGGAATTGGATTTATGATATCAGCATGAATAAATCTTTCAGAATTTACGCCATATCCATCTGGAGGTCTTTCTGGCATATATTTATCTGGTACTCTAGGATAATCATCTGAATTAGACCATTTCTGCTGAGATTGTACTGGTATCATAGATTTATTTTGTAATTGGCGTGAGCTGGTTTCTGGCTAAGAAATTGTAGGTAATATGTTAGCTGAAAAGCTAGCTTCCAGCTTAACAGCTGAGACTTGATCAAAATTTGATCCTCCATACAGGTTTGAAGTACGTTCTAACCACATATTTTTTAATGCAATGAAAAATTCGTTAATACCTACTGGAGCATCAGACCTCATTCAAGTAAAAAGCTCACCTGGTAATTGACTTTTAAGAAATCCCAAGACTTGAGCATCATTATTGGGTACACCTAACAAAAGAGGTCGAATTCTAGTTTTGTAGGTATCCAGAGTATCAAAAGGTTGAAATCTTTCTTGAGTTAATCTTTGAATTGCAGATTGTTTGGTTCCAACTGTTTCTCGTTGATATTTTGTTCTTGCCCATGCCCTCAAAGTTGCTGGAGTATTAATGGGGGGATTACCAACAATATATGGATCATTAGCTGGTACTGGAGCATATTTTCCAGCCATCTTAGATTTCAAGATAGTACACTTGACCGCATCATCGAAATCTCCTGCATTTGCATTTTCAAGAACTGCTATATGTCCCTCAGCAAATGCCCATGATTGTATAACCTTATCAAAATAATCATCAGGAGGTTCTTGACCAATATAAGATGAGAAACTTGCAATAGCCGGTTGTATTAATTTTAATACTGGTAAACGTCTAGCTTCTGCCATATTTAGTGGATTATTCTGTAGTAATAAAATTTGGGCTTGTAAATTTAAAATTAATTGCTGTGAATTATGCTCTCTATTTTTCCACTTGATATGACTTGCCTTCTGATCTTTGAATTTATTGTAATATCTATCAAAGAGCTGATCTCTATTATATTCTAATAATCCTTTATCGGCCCAACATCTTCGCAATTTTTGTTCTAATCGATAGTTTTTTAATCTATACAGAACTTCAAAAACATGCCTAAGTTTAGATTGTTCTTCTAATGCCAAGGTAATATTATACCACAAACGCCCTCACATATCATACCTTTGTTGTAAATCCCTACTATTGATATGACATTGCTGTAATAATAATTGAATAGCGAACTTTTCTCGAATTAATTCACCAACACGTCTATTTTTATCACGATATGAGAACCACCAGCGACGACGTTCTCCCTGTTCGTTATTATAAGCTGTAGTCATCAAAGTAAGATCATTCTGATAATTGTTATGCTCTTGAGTAAGTCGGTTAACTTGATTTCGTAAGTTATATCGCTCTTGGATAATTTGATTAACTTGGTTCTGTAAGTTATCTTGTTCTTGGGTAATCTGATTGACTTGGTCCTGAAAATCATTTTGGGTAAGCTGATTAACTTGATTTTGCAAAGCGATATTCCGTTGTCTATAGAAATTGACATCCTGTTGTAACTGGACTATCTGATTATCTCTGTCATCTCGTTGAGCAATAACACCATCTATATCCTGGTACGCAGACTGATAATTAAGACGAACAGCATTTAAGGAGCCTCTAATGCCATTTATAATATTTATAGGATTATTTAATGGTGTTCCGGCACCTTGAATATGATTTTCAATACAATTCAAGCCTCGATCGATTTGTATAAAAAGGTCAAGATTCGCCATATCTGTATCTTCCTCTGAATTATATAAACTTGGAGAGCTTCTCCGGGAAGAAATAACTTTAAATCTATACCTCAGATTTTCCATTCTCTCATAACATTCTTGCAACTGCTGTTCCAGATTAGCATTGTAGGATTTGATTTCCCGAACCTTCTTTGTGGCTTGATATAAGCTTTTTTTAAGGGACGATATCTCTGATCTTAACTCTACTCTTTCTTCCTCTGAAACATTCTCCAGCTGTTCTAGTTCTTTATTGAGAGATTGGATTTCTTTTTCGCACCGGGTATATTTACGTTCTAGATTCTTTATATATTTCTCATTCGATCTATTGATTGAAATTTCATTAGAGAGTTCATCTCTTAAGATCTGATTTGCTTGCTCTAGCTCCAACTCTCGATTAGAAGCTGACATATGAGAATTTCGATTGGGGGTCGGGGTCTCTGAAATGTCATAGCTATTTTTACAGTATATTATATTGACTTATCTCTTGGCTTTGCTAAAACATAGTTTATTGCTATAGTAAAATATATCGAAAATGAATAGGTCTTTAGACCATGCTTCGCATAAATTGAGCATGCCTATTATTAGAATCGATCCAAATGAGGAATTAAACTTAATCTGTAAATTGCTTTTTTACCAACCTACTGGTTATCATTCCAATGCTCAAAAATTGTACAATGCTGTCAGAGATCAAGGATATAATTTCCAATATAAAAAAGTTCGTGAATGGTTGCATAATCATAATGAATGGCAAGAGTATGCTCCGTCACCGAAAAACACTCCACGGGTAAGTTATGAAAAAATTTCACGTCCGAACTGCGTACATATGTGTGATTTATTGCGCCTTACAAATGATATCGTTAATAAAAAGACGTATAAATGGATACTCACTATTATAGACGTTGCATCACGTTTTAAATGCGCTGTTCCTCTTACATCAAAAAATAGCTCAGACATTGCCAAAGCCTTCAAAAAAATTTATAATGATTCATCAAATCCACTTGTATGGCCAATACTTCTACAATGCGACCAAGGGCGTGAATTTATGGGTGAGACGAGTAAAATAATAGAAGAGCATAATGTAACGATTAGATTGATTGGCGCATATAGTCATCGGGGTCTAGCAATTGTAGACAGATTCTGTAAGACACTTGCGGAAATGCTTTATAAAATCCAATATAGTGTTGAAAGTATATCCTCAGACCCTAAATTAATAAGAGCATGGGTTAAGTATTTGCCCGAAGTAATAGATTATTTAAATAATTATCCAACACGTCTTATTAGAGCTCCTGGATCCTCGAAGTGGGGGTTAGCTCCAGCAAAAGCTATCAAACTGGAACGAGTAGAATCAAGGCTATCTACAAAGTATAAGCGTTCTGTTGGAAAATATGAGGAGAATATGTTGAAGAAAGGTGATACAGTTTGCTATTTGCTTGCTAATGCGGAGTGGGAAGGGGGTATGGAAACAGCACGTCGTGCAACGGACCCGACGTTTTCACCAAGCCTTCATAAAATTCGCAAAATTGTGATAACGAAGAACGAACCAGTTTTATATTATCTTGGAAGTGATGACGATGAATATCCTTCAAAGCGGGGATTTGTGAGAGAGGAGCTCATGTACGTAGATTTAGAAAAAGTTCAGTATCCACCTCAGAGTATATTGGAAGAAAATATTCATTCCAGGTCTGTTAATTTCATCGGTGTTATTAATAAAATTGCTAAAGCACAACAATATGCCAGGAAGTATGGTGGGGAGTGTCTTGGTAAAACTGGTTATATAAATGGGTTCGACGTATATCTTTGGACCTGTGAAAATGG